TGTTAACCCCAATTTTAGTGTATGATAAGCACTTAATCTATGATAGTTGTTATAATAATCATTATGCTACAAGTTTCCAACTGAGACTTAGTTACCTATTATGCCTAAGAAGTGACTCATGCTTATTTTTTCTCTATCAAAGGTCAGCTGGCATTGTTTCCAACAGTGAGGCTAGAGCCTGATGCATTGATGCCTTGTGGAGAATTAAATATATTGTTGTAGCCAAGAAAGTTATAAATTGTTTTCCAAAATTTTGTTTGCCTTATATCCTATCAGTAAAATCTTTTCACTGCACTTCTAGTATATGTATGAGTGAATCTTTCTATCTCTATATATACAGAGTTAAATATAGACATATAGCTTATCAATTTTTTAGATATACTAATAAATTACATGAACTTTAAAGTACATTAAAATATAGGCATTTAAAGTAGACATATACATTAGGATATTAGATATATAATTTAGGATCAGAAATATAGATATTAGATCAATATGTATTATTTATTATACATATTCAATGTCCACATATTGTAAAACAGTATTATTTATAATATATACTTATGTACTATAAAATATTAGGGTATTTTGTTATCTTCCCAGTATTATAATGAAATTCTCAAGATAATTAATTTATAAAGAAAAGAGACTTATTTTGGCTTGTGGTTTTGGAGGTTCCAGTCCAAGATTAGGTGGAAAAGCCAAAGAGAGACAGGGAGGAACTGGGGTTCTACAGTCCCTTATGGGAGCACTTCCCATTTGACCTAAAAATGTTTTACAAGGCCTCACTTCTCAAATTTCTACTCTAGGGAACAATATTTTTTTTTAAATGTATCGACCTTTGTGGAAAAAAGCATCAAAATTAGATCATTTAAATATGAGACGCCCTAATATTTTCCTCTATCTCAGTATGTCCATTAGTGAATAAAAATCTCTTTTGCAGACCATTGTATCTGACACTTAAAGTAAGTGGGATAGAACACCTGATGTGGGAGTTTGAGAATTTGAAAATGTATTAGTAGATTTTTTGTTACAAAAACAAACAAACAAAAAAACCAAACAACCTGTGGCTCAATATTATATAAATAAAAGAGGTTCATACACCTCATAGTTCTAGGTAACCATAAAAGTGTGATGCTCATATCTTATTGGCTCTGGGGATACCCTCCTTGTCTGGGTCATAAAATGGCAGATAACATGATGGAGGGGGTGCATGTGAGTAGACATTATGTGAATAGAAAGGAAATCAGAGGTCTGGGCAGGTCCAGTCTTGTCCTTTTTTTTTTTTTTTTATAACAATCCACCTTTGTGGAAACTAGCTAAAATCCTGGAGGAACTAAATTAGTCCTTTCTATAGGAAGTACCATCAGTGGTCCATTTACCTTGCCCCAGCACCCATCTGTTAAATAGTCTCATGCTTCCCAATATCACTAGCACATACAAATCATAGTAGAAAATGTGTTTATGAAGTTAGCATGTACTTCATAAATACTACTAATAATAATTATGAAATAGTAAATGTTAAATATATCCCAGCCAGAGTGTTATCAAATTGTATATTCTCATATGTAATACACATAATCATGCTTTGAGATAGAGACTATTTTTCTGCCTAATTTTATACAGGAGGAATATAAGAAAAAATATAAGTAACTTGGTCAAAGTTTCTAAGTAACAAGTAGCATGATGATTTGCAAGTATCTCTTCTTTCCATAATCAGAGCTTTTCCTCTTGATGATATCATAATCATGAAAATTATTATCTCCATTAATATTTAATATTTTATTTATGGAGCACATTATAT